CTCTACATTCCTAGAAAACTTCTGGTTTTTGTTAGTTGAAGATTTTTATGTTGAAATAGTAAAGCATTTGTGATTTCCAGTAAGAACTGGAATTAGGTCCTATATAACCTTTTTTTCCTCAGTTTCATACTTTTAGCACAGCGCTTGTTGACGTGCTGTAGAACTGCTTAGAGATGGGACAGTCTGTAAATAAAAAGGGAACTGTGGTAACATATTGCAAAAGTATGTTTATTGAGGATCATTAAAGAGATGAAGTGAGAAACAATGAAGGCAGGGTCTCCAGGTACACACGCTTAGCTCAGAATATAAGTCTATAATTTAATGACGTGTCACTGACAGTATGGTGAGTCAAAGTACGGGAGTGGATCCTGCACTTCAAGGTCTGTCTGGACTAAGTCATTGACATTAGTAAGATGTATCCCTCTTGAATTGATGCTCACAGTGATTCAGCTGTAGGAGCTGATGGATGAAACAACTTTCCACACCTTTAAATCATAGAATAGCTAGGATTGGAAAGGACCTTAAGATCATCAAGTTCCAACCCCCCTGCCTTCGACAGGGACACCTCACACTAAACCATGTAACCCAAAGCTCTGTCCTACCTGGCCTTGAACACCTCCAGGGATGGAGCATTCACAACTTCCCTTGGCAACCCATTCCAGTGCCTCACCACCCTTACAGTAAAGAACTTCCTCCTTATATCCTATCTAAACTTCCCTTGTTTAAGTTTGAGCCCATTACCCCTTGTCCTGTCAATACAGTCCCTAAGGAAGAGTCCCTCCCCAGCACCCTTATAGGCCCCCTTCAGATACTGGAAGGCTGCTATGAGTTCTGCAAGGAGCCTTCTCTTCTCCAGGCTGAACAGCCCCGACTTCCTCAGTCTGCCTTCATACGGGAGGTGCTCCAGTCCCCTGATCATCCTCGTGGCCCTCCTCTGGACTTGTTCCAACAGTTCCATGTCCTTTTTATGTTGAGGACACCAGAACTGCACACAATACTCCGAGTGAGGTCTCACGAGAGCCAGTTGTGATGCTAAAACATGTCTGTGGTGTTTATTCCACCAGTGAAACTATCTTGATCACTGCTGATTGCTGTGGGAACTGGACAAGAGCTGGTCATTGTCCTGGTGGCGGTAAATACTCCTCCAAAACTCCTAGGGTTTAAAAGCATGAGAGGTTACCTATAATCAGATATATTTTATTTGTCTTTAGTCATAAGCACAGAAGAATCACTCATGTTTTAACTTTAAATTAATTGTTAGAAATATTAGTAAGATGTATTCATTGTGATTTGAATTTCTGTGTACTAAATGAACATTGTTAAAGGTAATGGACAGAACTGTTTCTAATGCTCTTCAGAATATCACTGGAAATATAAATTTTTTTTTTCTTTCAAGTTAAATTTAAATATTCCCTCAACCTTGAAGAAAGTCCAGAATTTAACTGTGTCCATTCATATGAGCAATGGAGTAGAACTACACTTGTTTAAAGAATGAGTTGTTTAAGTGTTCATACAATAGAGGAGATGGAAGATCAGCAAAGACCTTAATTGTTCTCTCATTTGTAACTTTTATCAGGTTTCCTGTCAACAGTGAAATGTTTCCAAGATGAAAAATAATGTTAAATGAGTTGCTGTTCTTACATGTTTTGACAGTTTTTATAGCTGGTGAGTTATGTTGAGGAATTTCAAAGTAAATGTATCTTCAGTAATATCTTCAGGCAGCTATACTGCAGTTGTACTCAGTGACTCTTTGTACCCACTTCCAATAAAATCTCGATATACTTTTTAAAAGGGGTTTTTAAGTAGTAGTTGTATTTCCAAGCTGAGAGAGATTTTAGTCTGAATGATGGACTCTATTGGTATCTTATTTAAGGCCTGCATTACCTGATAAATATTCCACCAAAATACAGTATGGTTGTTACCTTCTGATTTCTTAGCTGTGTATGTGTACAGATTAAGAAATCCATACTGTGTGTACCTGTGCACATGTGTGAGAGCAAGCAAGATTGCTAGTTATGATACATGGTTTCATTCCTCTGTATTATGGGGTAGTATTTTGGTAGCAAACTCTATCAGCATGCTTATGATGCACAAACATACGGAGTTTTTAAATGTAGCTTGCACCAGATCTTAACTAATCATCAATCTGTTGATGATCTTTGCCAAACAAGTTTAACCCTCCTGTATAACCTTTCTTCTACTTAAAACTGCAAGCTTGGTCATAAGCTTCCTCTTTCAGATACACTTCGGAGTCAGACTTGCATCATGTGTCAAGCACAGTAAGGAACTCCGCGTGTGTCTTTGTTTTTTGTCATCTTAGCAAAGCACTGCCAGAAATCTTGCTGCACCTTGCAAAAAGAATTGTTGTGAAGGGGTGAGGTTAAAAATAACCCAAAGAGTTACAACTGTGAAATATTTGAAGGTTATAAAATCAAGCCTAGGAAAGGGTTACCTGGTTATTTGATCTGGTGAATCCGCATTAACAAAGATCAGCTCTTTCTCTGTGACACCTTTGCTTCATTCAGTGCAGAGGATGCAGTTTATAGTCTCAGTTCCTGCACAGGAATAAAACAGAATGCAATTTTCTGCACAGCTGAAACAGCACAGAAGAGAGTCTGCACAGTCTGCACACACTTCTGCACAGAAGAAAGTCTGCATCTCAACTTGATCTTGGTCTTCACAGGGTTTACATAAGGTGCTGGGATCTGCAGCTCTATTGCCCCTCATTCACATAAACTAACATGAACCAACGAAAAGATGTGCATAAGTGATAGTTGGTGTCACACAACACTCAATCAGATCCCCACATAGATGTAGCAATATGATAACATTAAACCAGAAACTATTCCACACTGCTGTAACAGACAGTCCTGTTCATGTAAGAAGTGGATGTAGGAAAGGCCTGTGAGTCTAAACAGCTTTTCTTTCGAAAATGAAAAGTGCTTTTTTAACTTACAGCATAACTAAATATTAGGGGATAATTTCCTCTTAACTTAAATATCTTCGTGATAAAAGCAAGCAATATACACAGGGTGAATGCCCTATAGAGAAAACATTGGTGCACTAGACATCTCAAATTTTGTAATAAATTGGCAGATGCTTCTATTAAGCTGGAACCCTGATACAGCTGAGTGTTTACTTCCAGTGGGGATTGCCATTTCTTCTCTTGATTATGTTAACAGGTGGCAGCTAATCCATTGTGAGAGTGAGGGAAGGCAGCACGTTCCTCTTAAAACAGAGCACTACAAAAGCTTCAGGAGAAAGATCTTATACACTGGATGATTAAAGGCTGTTTAAAAAACTGTTGTAAATCAGAAGTTGATTGTTGGGGGCAGGGGGAGGTATTAGGTGGGCCATGGTGGTGTTTCTGGTTTGCTCTTCTCTTGGTCAGAAGCAAAACCCTTTAAGTAAGGAGGATGTGGTGGTATATCTACTGGAGGTTGGGCATGTCATGGTGTTGGCTTTACTCCCTTCAGAACAGCAAACCTGCTGCTGTTCTGTCATTTCTATGATGCATAAGCTCTTTGTTTTGGGCTAGTTCTTCTGTTAGGTCTTTTTTTCTACCTGCCATTTATTTCAGGCCACTCCCGTTGTAAGTAAGATCCTGTACTTTGACATCTGTCTGGTCTACAGGAAGGTGGCAAAGCCTGCTGGTAAGCTCACCCCTCTGACAGTTTCAGTTCATCGCCAATGAAGCAGCAGATCTCACACCCTTGGCAATCTCAGAAAGCACTAACCCCTTAGTTTTCAGCTGATACCCAGTTTTGCAGACAAGCAATGTGAAACACATGGAGCGCATCCAGCCAAAAGTCACAGGGTCTCACCCACTTGGTTAACGAGAGCAAGATCGTTACTTCCCTGAATGCATGGAGTACAGCAGCAGGAATACCGTGTCAAGGAAAATTAAATAGAGGCAAACCCCAGAGATTGCAGTGTTAGCTGCAATTCACCTTGCTGTGCTCCAGATCAGCACCTGCTTGGAGCTGTCGTGTTCATTTAGGATAAGATGCATCCATTTTGAGTGAGAATGAAGTGAAAGTGTCTGTTTGAAACTACAATGGGGAAACTTAGCCACGGTTTCCTCTCCCCATCTCCTGTTCTCCCTTCCTTTCACAGCCATATTTAGCAACTGCTGCCAGTTAGGCAATGCAAATTTAAGGCTGTAGGAGTATCAGCTTTGAAAAAGCTGATACTCCTACAAGGTGGAAAAACTGGGTATCTAGTAAAAAAAGGGTTTGGCAAGAATAATTTATGTTGTTCTGCAGGGAGGAGAAATAAATGACCCCTGGCACTCCCTTGCAAAACACACATTTAGCCCGACAGAGTCCACTGACCCTTTGGAAAAAGCTGCATTTGAGTTTCTAAGGATTGCTCTGTGCACACAGGCTCTCAACCTTGGAAGACTCACATTGTTGCTGCCACAGCCAGCATGTTGCAGTGGCCGGTGCTGCCGACCCTGCTTTACTGGTGCAGCATTTACCAGTTTTGCTTCCTTGTCTGTGGTATGGTGGTGGCAGATGAAGCCGTGGATGTTGCAATGAGCTGGGATGTTTCATCACTTGTCTCAGCCTTGGCCAGGGGCATGCCATGTTTGCCCCAGCTTTCCCCATACCATCAGAACAGCAGTATCGTGCCTGCTTCAGTGTTCCCAGCAGTGACCAGCTGGGTATGCCTAGGGCATACTAGGGCAGAGGATGAGGCAGACAGTGAGAAGCCTCCTGTACCAGTACTGCATTCCCAAAGGTGCTCCTGGTTTCCTCATCACTGTTGCTGATCTATTGCCCTCCATCTCTCTGGGGACAAGAATGTGGGATGAGTGGTAGGCATTTACAAACTGAGTTTTAATGAAAGTCATCAGGTTTCCATGACCCAGATCTGTTTGTGCTATCCTTTTAAAATCCTGTATTTTGTAAAACCCTAAAGATGTGACCTTTTGGTAGACTGTTAAAAAGTAGTTTTGAGCCAGCTTTTCCCTTTTACTCCTCTTATTTTCCCTACAGTCCATTGCTTCAGCGGACATGGATTTGAATCAGCTGGAGGCTTTTCTTACTGCCCAAACCAAAAAACAAGGTGGCATCACGTCAGACCAAGCTGCAGTCATTGCAAAATTTTGGAAGAACCACCGGATGAAGATCCACGAGAGCCTGATCAATCAGAGCCGTTGGGGTAATGTCCTGAAAAACATAAACTGGCGAGTGGATCTGAAGTCACAGTCGAGACACATGGACCAGATAAACACTCCTGTTGCAATAGTTGAAATGGAACTGGGAAAAATTGGGCAGGTAAGCTTTCTGTTGCAAAATACAGAAACCTGATTTAACTACATATGTGCTGAGACATTTTACCTATTGCTGAATTCTCTATATCCAAATCAAGTCAGTGTGTTTTTCACCACCAGGCCTTTAATGTACTTGTACTTGTGGTCCATCTTTGAATACAAAGATACATTCTGGCTGATGAATGCAATTTGGTTTCTTTTTATATCTCCATATATGTATTGACAGCTCTCTTTACATTAAGCTTGAAAAATCTGATGATGTAGAAATAAAACATAAAATCAGCCAAACTAGTGATTATATTTGTATTCCATTGTCATGATTTAGACATCAGGGCATCCATGCACTGCAAAGTCCATTAGTCTTCGTTTGTTTTATTTTTCTAAGCAAATACTAAAAATAGATAATATCTGTAAAGTAGAAGCTGAAAAAAAAATAAAGTTCACAGATTATGATGATCAAGCATCCCTTACATTTTAGGACAAATAGAGGGAAAGACTCCTTTACTTTACATAACACCTATTTTCATGTTGCATCTTTATTAGCAGTCACACCCTATGCAATCTACTCTCAGGCAATCTGGCCTAAGAAAAAGATAGAGCTCTATCAGTGCTGAACACTGCATTTCTTTTTAATCTTTGGCATTCATGTGAATGTGTAAATAAAGGCACAGCTTCCCATCTTCAATCTTTCTATCTTTTTCTGACAGGAAATGTGTTTCAATTTGTTATCTTTTTTTCTCTGCAATGTGTTAGCACATCTTAAAACCTCATTTCTTAGCAGCAGCTACTGCAAAACATACCATGAGCTGATTTGAGGGTTTTGATGTTAATAGTTAACATTTACCAAGTTGCCTTAGATTTTATAATATTTTAGTACCTGGATTATGTATATCTAAAATACGTATGTGCATGTGTACACACACACATGCCTGGAATACAGCTCTACTGACTGAATGATTTAATTGAAACTGTGTGGCTATACCATGTACAAGTAAATTGGGATCCTACAGAGACAATATATATTGTTGAAGTTACTCTGTTTATCCTCTTTTCCCCAGTCTTTGAAAGCTTATCCTTACTAAGTGCTGGCCCTCTGCCTTCCACTCACGTATCTCTGCAGTGACCAACACAATAAGAGTGTGTGAGTTCAGGGTTTTTTTTCTAGCATCAAAAAAAAAAGTGGAGATTTCTGCTGTTGAGATTGGAAGCAATTATATTCTATTATTAATAAATGGAAAAAGATGAGAAAAAAACGTTACAGGAGTACAATTGAATCAGTACATTAGCGAGCAAATGGGAAAATCACCCATGTTCATCTAAAAACAAATCCTGAACTCAGAACCACTGTTGTATTTCATGGGGGAATTATGTAGCTTGTGACTCTTGTTTTGAAATTGTATTTTCCCCAGTAATGGATTTTTGCGGTAACATCAGTCAGCAAGTACATTTGTATTTCTTCCACCCTGTGTAGCATGGGAAAGGGGATGTGAACATGAAGGACGAATACACATTTCAGAGACTGTCATTCCTTTTACCAAAGAGTCCCACAACAAAAGGAAATCCATTATTTTAGCAATGCAGCTTTGTATTTCAAAGGGAAGCAGTTGTGTGAATGTATTTTTTCGAACTGCCACCAGACATAACTTTTGCCTCTGTTGCTGAGGACAGTAGTGAGCTGTCAGCAAGTGTCTGATACTTGGTGCAACTAAGGGTATTAGACTGGTACTTCCAGAAATAATCACAGAGTAATTAGCATTGTCACCACTTGAATCAAAATTGGTATTTATTTTCAGGAGCTGTGGTTTCACATGGTCTTTAGCTTTGGATTAAATAACTTCTCTGCTGAAAAGCTTTTGGTTGAGGCAGTCCGCATCAGGCTGCACGCTCCTGTGATGGGCTGAGGTTTGAGAACCCCAGGACTGAAATGTCAGCAAGCAGGTTGCCAGAACAGTTCAACCAGCCCTCAGCCTCTTCCCACATGTGTTTGGGACCTTCTGGAAAGAGGCTACTATTGAAGGTTGAACAAGTTGTTCTTGCACACTGGATCCAGTCTATAAACTTAAACCAATCATGTTTTATAGCCTCTATATGTATTTTTACATTATTGTTAGCACATTTCTATCAGTTCTAAATAATCAAGTTTTGTAGCACATCAAATACACATATGCTGGTACCTTTCTGAAACTTAACAAAGAGAATGTCTTTTCTAAAAGATTGTCAGTCATATATGTGACTTGGCAAATAGTGAAGATCTGGATTTGCAGAAGAAAGCTGACTGATGATTCAGGAGTAAATTATTTAGAACAGATTGTTTTCATTTGGACACTTGATAACAGGGGAGTATACAAATGCATTGATGTGTAATGAATTGACGTTAATATTTCATGTTTCAACAGAAGCAAAGAAATACTCTGTATAAAACGTACCTTTACAGAATTTGAAGTCGCTCTGATTCTTTTCTGTGTCTCTAGGCTGGATTTAGATCTCTTCCCAGCAGAAGGCAAGACAGTTTGGTGGAGTGTCTGCTCCTTCAGCTTCAATAAATGACCTTGCTTTCTGCTTGCCATCTCTGAATTTTAATCAGGCAATTCTTTCATGATGGAAAGACTGTATGTGTAAGACCTAATATGGTTAGAAGTGGGAAGTTTGAAGTGATAATGCCACTAGACTGAGTTTGCATGAATTTTGTTACATTTCACAAGTGTTTTCTAATGGAAGAGAGATGTTTCTGGGCTTGAGAATCCATTATAACTTGCATGCATTACTTCTTACTAGCCCTGGCATTACTGATCATAGGAAAAAAAGAAAAATAGCCCTTTCCTCTAAGTGCTCTTAAAAACACTTCTGATGAGAAACATTTGGAAATACTGGTGTCCTAAACTTTGGGAAGTTTGGTTCAGGATCTTGCATCGTAACTTGCATCTTGAACTTTGCTTCTTCAGTAAAGATTTTACTGTAACATTTAAAGTTTCCTTTGTGCTGGTGATGTAGTCTTTAAAAATCTTGGTTAAAGGCAGATGAAGATGCTGGCCATGAAAGACTGCTTTGAAAGCCCATTTTCTTTAACAGTATGGCTAAAAATAAATTCCTAAAGCAGTTGCACTTTAGCCTGCATTTGCCTTCATCTGTTCATGATATTCACTGCTCATCACTGCCAGTTCATTCTTTCCTTTTGAACAGCCCATCTTTTCTTTGGTGCAGTGGTTTTATCCTCCTGCATCTCTGTACCTTGCTGGCTTTCTCTTAAAACATCTATAACTCCGTGCTCCCTTCTTTATATCTTTGTTCTCCCTCTCTGAGCATTGCTGTAAAGCTCTTTTGGCATGAAATTTCAACTGGATGAGAATCTGCTGTGAGGGACAGTGGTGTGAGCTGCAGTCGCCCTTCTCGTGCCCTTCCTGCCCTGCTGCACCAGCGCTGCTCCATATGGTGAGCAGTCACTGCTGCACAATGTTAAGTTACCTGCAGATGTCTGTCACAGATTTATATCTGACCTTGTCATTAATAGAAAATAAATGCATAGGTTTTGCACTGTGGTTTGGCATTAAGATATTTAAACTTGTTTTATGGACTTTGTCATGTTATTTTCCTTATGAGATGTGCCCCTCCACTGAGGCTATGTTCTTCCCCACTGCTATTGTGGGCTGATTTACCATTAAGTTTTACTTTCTTGCAGCATTACATATATTTAGCAGTTTCGTATCTGAAACTGATCAAATGTTATAGATTAGCTTGAGTATTTGCTCTTGGCTTTTATGCTTAAATTTATTTACAGAATGGGTATTTTCTCATGCATTTCTTTCCATTGCTTAAAATACTGTTAATCCATGTAATAGCACTTTTATTGGAGTTCCATGGGATGTTAAGCATGTTATATGAGCAAAGACTATTTACTGCCCTAATTTAACATGAAATCTGGGATTCCACTGCAGGAATCTTCCCAAAAGATGTGAAGAAATTGCATCAGGATTATGGATTGGAGAGGTTTTCTGAAATTTCATCAACTTTAGTTTCTATGACTATGAAGATTTTATTCTTTTAGTGTTCTGGGAAGGAGTGAAATACATCTCAAAGAAAACCAAGTTTCTGACTTATCAATTAGTATATTCTAAACAAATTTAGGTGAAATTTGTATCAGCCATGCTATAAACAAATGCAAAGTTGAATTCACACACATAGACAAACACTGAAATTGAACATGCTTTCACAGTAAAATAGTCAAAGAATTATTATTATTTAGTTTCTATAAATCTCATTACCTTGCTAGCATTACAGATTGAATGCTGCTGAGCATCTCTTGGTGTTTGTCACATTTTTGTAAGCACAGGTCTCTTGGCTGCGGTTATCTCCAGCAATAGCTTTCACCAATGGAGAAGGTCAGATCAAAAAAGCGTCATGAGTAAACTCATGCTATAGAGAGGAAGGATTATGGCTGCTTTTGACTCTGTGTGACTGCAGGTCAGGCTGCTTCAGAGCTGTCTCTTAAAATAACTTCAGATAATGGATTTCCTGTCCTTTTTATGTAAGATCCATTCTGGAAAGATGTACCACCTTTTGTACAATGTCAATATGAGCAAAGTGGTGCTCTGGGAGATTAGCAGTTCTGGGTACCCCAACCAAACTAAGAGCAGCCTGGCCTGAGAAGGGGGAGGAAAAACAACCACTAAACTGTTTCTCCTTTCCGGCCTTAATCCACTTTAATCTTTGTAGTTATTAACATTATCAGAAATGTTGTTCTGGTAAAAAATGGAAAAACATGGGCATTTAGAAGCAGAATTGATCAACTGCAACAGGCTTAATACTTTTATGTGATTAAAAATATAAACCCTGTTAAGTAGAAGTTAGTGGAAAAAAATCACCTTTGTGGCCAAGCCAAATGTCATCACTTGAGCTTTTTGTTCACCTTGGAAATTTATGAGCTGGAGGGAACAGTTACATAAGGCAGTACAGTGCAAAAGCAAATAAAAACCAGAGGGCAACGGGTCACTCAGCGCAGAGAAACCT